GGGATGAAGAGGTGGGGGGTGGAAGGGGAGGTGGGGGATGAAGAGGTGGGGGGTGGAAGGGGTCCCCCACAATGCCGAGTGCTCTGCGGGTGAGGCACACAAACACAGCAAGAAGAAGAGAAGCTTTCCCCAGGACGCTGTGGAGCCAGCCGGAGGAAACCAGCCGAGATGCTTCGTGGCTTCCCGAGGTGGAGAGGTATTGTGTTGGTTTTACATGAGAGCGCTGAGTAATCCGCAGCGGGGAGGACCCTGAACACCTCGCAGATTCTATCAAAAGCTCAAATGAGTCTGAAAAGAGACGTTTGAGCCAGCGGGGAAGAAGTACTCTGGTGTGAAAACACTACATGATGATCAGGGTTTAGTCTGCACCGGGTAACAGGAGCGCTGCGCCCTCAAACCAAAATGCAGATTTTCCCCGTAAAATGTTAAAGTGATGCCAGAAAACAATATTTCTGTTCCTCAGAAACTGTAAAATTACTCCAGAAATATGAAAACCGTGTCAAATTGAGTATCGTAGAACAAAACACATTCAGAAAACCATTGAGCTCCACACCAGGGGACAGGAAGTGGTAAAGCTCCACACCAGGGGACAGGAAGTGGTAAAGCTCCACACCAGGGGACAGGAAGTGGTAAAGCTCCACACCAGGGGACAGGAAGTGGTAAAGCTCCACACCAGCGGACAGGAAGTGGTAAAGCTCCACACCAGCGGACAGGAAGTGGTAAAGCTCCACACCAGGGGACAGGAAGTGGTAAAGCTCCACACCAGGGGACAGGAAGTGGTAAAATGCCGAGTCATTTCTGGGTTTTAGGCCTCGTTCCCTGCACCACTTTATTCAGCCCTAAAGCACCATTAGCAGTAATTAGCATAAGCTGTGTTTATTAGCAGTAATTAGCATAAGCTGTGTTTATTAGCAGTAATTAGCATAATGATCTGTATGGAGATCAGTTTATCATCTGCCCGGCCGATAGGGAGAATAGTTTTGGGGTTATTGAGTTTATTATCACACGTTTGAGGAACCAAAAGGCCATATTTAATCTCCTATGGTGTTAGCTTGTTAGCAACATTTCTAAATTGTGTGTTATTTACGGACTTTTTTTAAGTAGTAGAATAAAATGTTGTTAACCACAGACCTTATTTCAGACTACCAACCAAAAACACAATCAGAGAACCATTGACCTCCACACCAGGGGGAGGAAGTGAGAACATGTCATGCAGGCCTTGTTACCTGCATTACTTTATTCAAACGGCCCTAACACACCATTAGCAGTAATTAGCATAATGTCCTATATGGATAACAGTTAATGATTTGGTTATTTTGACAATATTGGAGTAGTTTTGGTGTTATTAAGGTTATTATCACACTTTTTAGGAACCAAAAGGCCATATTTCAGGTCATTTCTGGGCTTTACGGCTCAGTCCCTGCATTCATTTATGTATGCGTCCAAACTAAGGCATTTAGTCAACACAGAGAATCCAGACTGGTGCTTTATCTCCTCCCAGCTCAGAAAGTATCATCTGTTCGCTGGAATCAAAACAAGCGCGCCTCATTTTCCCGTCCTCTGCACGCCGACAGCCTTTAAATGTATTTTCATATTGCCCTCCGTTCGAGAGCGAGGTGCTTCTGATCATTCGTCAAAGTGAGCGGCACGCTGGCAGTGAAGGATGTTAGAAATCACAAGATGTAAAAACTGAGAGGCGCCAGGCAGAACAGGAAGGTGCCTTTGAGGAGCTTTCTAAAGTATTAAAGATGCAAGGAAGGCGTATTTAAAGCCTCAATATACCACTGTGTCATTCAATGTAATGTGACCATAAGCATTGACACCATGGAGGGACCATTGGGGGCTTTGGTCTTAGTAATTAAGGCGGTTCAATCATTCATTCTGTACATTTTTGGACAATATATTGGTAATAAATGGACATTTTTACACTTTTAGATTGTGGTTATTGTAATAAACCAGAAGTGTCTCTTCTTGGTTTTAGGAGCTGTAATCCAGCAAAGTGATCACATTTTCTGGAAAAACCGCCCTATTCTGGGATTGTACTTGACCTTTTTGGTCATTTTATCCACATTGATAGTGATAATTAATAGAGATGTCCCGATACGATCACGTGATCGGGGATCGGAGCCGATCACGTGATTTTCAAAAGATCGGAATCGGGAGAAAAAAATCGGGGATCGGGATCTTTTTTTTTTTAATACTTTTTTTTTTGTATTCAATGTTACAAAACAAAAATGACCATGTTCAAGTCTTAAAGTCATCCTGAGGCCTTAGTTTTGGTTTCAAATTACACAACATCATGTATGTGTTGCTTCTTTGGGGCTTGTTTTCATAGACCTGCTTATTTCTCTCAAATCTGGCAACAGAGTGGGCAGGGCGCAGTGTCTAATTGTAGCAGTAAGCTAACGAGTACTGAAAGCTTTATTTTGTTTTGATCCAATGCTGCACAACTGAACTGATCCAATGCTGCTGTGAAAGAAAGAAGCTATATCCATGTTGGATAGAATATCCAATTTAAATAAAAAAATAACCTTAAGGGACAACTTGAATGCTTTTTTCTTTTTTTTTCTCTTAATGCATTGCATAAAGATCGGATCGGGAAAAATCGGTATCGGCAAATTGTCAAAATCAAATGATCGGAATCAGATCGGGAGCAAAAAAAGGTGATCGGGACATCCCTATTTCTGTGATGGGTAAACTTCCACATGCGTGGGTTTTTCTAGACGACCTTGAATCCGCATCAAACAACGCCTATTGGAAGGTGGGGGTCTAAATCAGGAACGGATCTCTCATCCAATGAAAGGACCCCTTCTGTCACCAACGGCCCACCCACACCAGCGGGCTGGTGATTGTATTAAAAGACCTAACGACCCCCTTCCGTGGCGTGCCGGCATTTTGAGTCTTTTCGAAAACACTTCGGCGGGTAAGTAAACGAGAGCTAGATCCGTCATTATCGTAATCGGGTCGCGGTGGTTGGCGCTCTCTCTGATTTGACGCGCGTGAGCCGTGGTGTGTTTATTTTGTACTCGCCGACTCGCTATTCCTGCGCACAGCCGCGACCGAGACCGAACTACATGCAGCCCTTCTCTGCAGCTGGGTCGTCGAGATGACTTCGGTACGGGTTGACGGCCCCTGAAGGCCCTGCACCCCAGCGTCATATGCGGAACTTCAACACAACGCGGGACCGGTCATTTGAGTTTCGTCTTCTCTTCACTGTAGCTCGCAGAAGTAACAGCATTATGGCATAGCCAAGTCCTACAACAACAAGAGACAGTCACAATTGCAGTGACTGCCAATAGACAACACATATCAAAGACAGTCCGCGAACTGCAAGA